GAAGTTGATTGACATAACTTGACATAACGAATGAAGTTGATTGACATAATGATAGCCAATGAAGCTGGTTGACATAACTATAGCCAATGAAGTTGATTAACATAACTTGACATAACAATAGCCAATGAAGTTGATTGACATAACTTGATATAACTATAGCCAATGAAGTTGATTAACATAACTTGACATAATAGCCAATAAAGCTGATTGGCATTACTTGACATAACGATAGCCAATGATGAAGTTGATTGACATAACTTGACATTGATAACCAGTGAAGTTGATTGACATAACTTGACATAATAGCCAATGAAGTTGATTGATATAACTTGAATCTAAGAAAAAAGGGGAAAAAAATAGTGAAAATGGATGAATGAATGAGATGTTTTCAGTTGCAGGTAGTCCTTGACTTACAATAGTTCACTTAGTGACCTTTTGAAGTTACAACGGCACTGAAAAAAGGGACTTATGACCATTTTTCACACTTAATGACCATTGCAGCCTCCCCGTGGTCATGTGATCAAAATTCAGACGCTTGGCAACTGAAAAAATTTCAATTGCATTGTGTGTGAAGCCAAACCCACAAGGTTGGCCAAACACTGAGGGCGGATCATTACACAAAAGCTTAGAGGCTGGATTTCTTGACCATAAACCCTCTCAGGAGAAGCCTGACCGGGTGATCATCACCTTATAACAACCGAGGCACCAACTTTTCTGTCTGTCTGTCTCTCTCTCTCCATCCATCCATCCATCTTGTGTAGCTTCCTGACAAGTTAATTCCCAGCCTGGTGAAATATTACTACTCTTGGAAAAAGACCAGAAGTCGGACAAGCGTGATGGATCGCCAAGCCCGCAAATTGCTCAGCAGGAAAGAAAAGGATGACAGGTAATCTACTAAAGGGATCTGTCTGGCACGGGGCGTAAGGAAGGAATGGGCTTGTTTTGGGGCGATCGGGAGAGCTTGGTAGGTGGTTATGTCACACACACACACCCCAAAATGGTCTCCTGTAGCTCTTCAGGGCTGTGTGTGTGTGTGAGAGAGAGAGGGAGAGAAAAGAAAGTGTGAGAGAGGGAGAAAGGGGAGAAAAAGAGAAAAAGTGTGTGTGAGAGAGGAGAAACAGAGTGAGGGAGAGAGAATGAGAGAAGGAGATAGAGAAATAGAGTGAGAAAGGAAGAGTGGAAGTGAGTGTGTGAGAA